GTGGTCGACCATGGTTCGCATCCCGGACCCATCGTGAGTGCCCAAGATCCCTGGAGGAGAAGGGATTGTGGCGTGGCGATCCCCCACTGGGGGATGATTTCTCACATTCTGTCTCTCTGTCTCTGTCTGTCTGGCGAGCACACGTGCCCTATAGGAAAAACCTCTAAAAAAAAAAAAACTTACATTCCAGGAGAGGGGAACACTGAAACCAATAAAATCCACAGACAGGTGGTGTTAAGTGCTAAGAAGAAAATGGAGCACCAGCCCGATGGCCTAGTGGTTAAATTAACTGGATCTCACATAGCCAGCTGCACAGTGGCCAAAGAGACACAGCAGGTGTGTGTACATGCATGGCGCAAATCCTGACAGAATGGAGAAATGGAGGGTTGTGGTATGACCATGCCCCAGCTGGGGGTACTTTTCCCCTCTCCCTCTGCCCCTCATGACCGCATGTGGCCCTCTGGTAAATTTAAAAAAATAAAGAGGGGCTGGCAAGTGGTGTGGAGGTTAAGGCACTGGATCCCACAAGGCCTACTTCACAGTATGAGTCCCAGACCCAGTGGCTTCAGACTCATGCCAGCTGTGGGTGCCCAAAACCCTGAGAGGAGAATGAAGAAGGAATTGTGGTGTGCCCATCCCCCCAGGGGATCATTTTCTTACTTCCTCATTCTCTCTGGCCAGCTCACAAGCCCTATAGCAAAAAGAAACAAACAAACAACAAACTGATAGATAAGATGGTATAGGTGGTAGTTGTAACTGGGTAGTCAGAGGGTGTAAAGGAAGGGGCAGGTGGTGGGCTGTCCAAATGGTGTCTGGTGTAGTGTTTCAGGCAGGGGAAAAGACAAAAGCAGAGCCAAGCGCGTTCAAAAAAACAAATATACTATAACCCTCTTAAATTCTAGGACTCAGGGAACCAGCAGTTAGCATAATGGCTATGTCGCTAGACTCCCACGTAGTCGACCACGGTTTGCGTCCCTGACCCGTTGGCTTAAATCTCACACCGGGTGCTTGTGCGTGCGTGCCCAAGATCCCGAGAGGAGAACGGAGGAGAAGGGATTGCGGCGTGATCATCCCCCCTGGGGGTGATTTCTCGCTTTCTGTCTCTATGTCTCTCTCTGTCTGTCGCATGTACCCTATAGTGAAAACCTCTCCAAAAAAAAAAAAAAAATCTAGGAGTCAGAACACTCAGATCTGGCAGGTGGCATGGTGGTTAAAAGTGCTGGATTCCCACATGGTTAATCCCAGTTCAAGTCCTGGACCTGATGGCTTGCTTTCTCATTTTCCCTTTCTCTCTCTGTCTCTGTCTGGTCAAATTAGAAAATAACAACAAATGGAATTAAACAAATAAATCAATTTTTTTTTTTCAGAATTATTTTACTTGAATTTATTTGTTTATTTATATTTGACCAGAGAGGGACAGAGTGAGAAAGCAATCTGCCAGGTCGGGGACTTGAATCATGGTCATCCATGTGGAAGTCCAGCCCCCTTAACTACTACACCACCTGCCAGCCCCTAAACAAATCTTAGAAAAAAAATTCTAAAATTCTAGAAATAGTGACACATTGATTACACTGATTACATTGCTTAGGTTAAGGATGTGTACTACAAAATCGTTTCTTGGTAGTGTGAGAGAACATCCTAATGGAAGTAGCTGGGCGGTGCAGTCTTCTGGAGCTAGGGGATGAGGCCCTGTCTCACTTGCTTTCCACACTTCTGGTAGCTCAGCTTGCTCTGTGTTGACACAGCCTCCATTTTAGCTGCAGACTCTGAAAGCCAACGGGAGAGAGCGGCCTCCTCCACTACTCAGGCCTTGGAGCCCCAGAAGCCCTCCCAGCCCACATAGCTGCTTCCAATCTGAAGACCCAGGGCTTTGAGAGCGCAAGATTCAGCCTCCTTGTTTTCCTGTCGGAGCAGGAGCCAGAAAATGAAACAGGAAACAGAGTGGAAGAGGAGGGGGTTGGGCAGCAGAGAAGGAAAGAGACCTTGCAGGGAAGTAGAACTGAAGATCTGGATAAAGCTTAACCTCTAAAGGGTGACAGTAAAGCTTTTAGAGAACATTCTGGCTTGTCACCTGAGACCCCTGGGTTTTTACAAATAGACTTTTGGAGGGAACCTGGTGTAGACAGAGGGAACCCTGAGGATGCATGTCTTTCTCTCGTGTGAATTCAGAGCGAGAACTGTTCTTTTCTCAGTTTTCTCTTTGAAACAGTGATGCTTGGAGCCTCATAGACTTCGAGATTCAAGTCACAACCACAGGTCCCCGAGCGTGCCCCGAGTCGAGCTGAGAACTGCACGTCACTGAAAGGCCCAGGGAAGGGCCCTCTGAATTCCGTTTTCCCTTCTCCAGCACAAAACCACTGACATGTGATTTGGACTCTCCCACTTTAAACGCAATCTATAGCTGAGGGCAGCTTAGGTCTCCGGGCCTGGAACGACTGTAAGGGATCAAACGCTGCAGGCCCCGGCCTGGCGGCCCCGAAGTGGGCCATGCCTCTGCCTGCAGAGATAGCGACCACCTCTTTGTCCCCACCCACGTTAGTCACCGTGGTGGAGATAAAGCCTCCCCGAGCCCGCTTCGTTGAGGGCAGATAACTGAAACCACAGGAGGCTCTGGACCCCCGAGCAACAAGAAATCCACCAACGGAGAAGGATTTATTATCTGTTTCCTTCGAGGGGGGTGCCCAGAAGTTCTAACCGTTTCCGTTACGGGGGCACCAACGGGCGCTCCTCCCCAACAGACGCCTTTGCGGAGTTGGCGCCTTTTCCTCTCCGTGGCCCCACTGGCTCCGGGGCAGCGACAGGGAGGGAGGTGGGGGCGTCGGGTGCTCGTCCACCGAGTGGGGCCCCATACCAGAGAGGCTCAGGGGACCCCACCTTCTTCACACCCAGGACGCAGGGCGCCCCTGCTGGCCACCGAAGCCCTGATGGGGCTTCTTTCCGCCACGCAGAAGACCCACTGTGTGCCAGGCCCGATGCCGAGCTGCTGCCGCCTGACAGCAGGGCCAGGAGGCTCTGCCTTGTGCAAAGAGGCCGCGGGGCTGCCCCGAGCTGCGAAGGCCCCGGCCACATCGGGGGCCCGACGGGCATTTGCCGGGGGCCACTGGGGCCG